CGGTGGCTCCCAGCCAAAGCGCACTACCATTGTCAGCACGTCACCGTGCTTCGCATCCTTGGCAAAAGACTGCCCAGGTAAAGCCTGTGCGGCGCACCATGCCGCTGATCAGGAGACTGCCTACCCGCCCAAGCTAGCTGCCTCCATCGCCCATGCCCTCGCATGCCATGCTTGCAGTCTTGGTTGGAACCCGGAAACCCGCTTGCAACAACCCCACTCCTTGCAAACAGCCTGCCAGGCTGTGATAGGGAACCAGCCCAAAGCCTCACGCTTCCCTCCTTTAGTCCCCGAACATGCGCAGGTTGTCGTCATGACCGGACCGTCGTCAGTCTCCCTGCCCTGTGAGGCCATGCAACGCATCAAAACGCCATGGACTGTGCCCTTGGAATGTTCCTGCACTTTGCGTGTTATCCCTGCCGAGGCTCAGCTTCTGCGAGTCTCCCCCATCACGGCTAATAAGGGGAAAGAGCAGGCTGAAGAATTGCGGAACCGATGTGAAATAGCCTGGGGCATTCCCTTCAAGCCCGAAGCATTCGTGCGTGAGGCCGTCAAGTCGGGGCATCCAAAACTGGTGCCCGTCAATCTCCCGCAACCCCTTGAAAAAGCTGTGGAGTTGAATAAGTCGCTCAGCAAAGAGGAACTGAAGGATTTTCGGGAAGAATGGTTCAGGAAGTGGGAGCGCAGGGCGGAAGAGTTACGCCCCCAAGAGGAAGAGTTGAAAAATCATTTGCCGGGGCATTTGAAAAATATCTTAAGCGGCAAAGGTCTACTGGTGTGGAGGGAAGTGCTTGAATCCCTTGGGTACGAGGACTTAGGTGTAGTGGAGGAAGTAGCGTGTGGCACCGAACTTCTGGGTCAGGTGCCGCTGACAGGAGTGTTTGACCAGTCGTTCAAGCCCGCAGTCGCTACTCCTGAGCAGGTCAAGGCGAGGGCTGTGGCGAGCCGCGAGAAGGTGCTTGGCAACCTGAAATCGCAGGGCCACCTAGATAAGGAGGTCCGGGACAAATCGATGAAGGAAGTCGCAGAGGGTTGGCTTAGGGGTCCCATTGGGAAAAATCAACTTAAGCATAGTTCTTTGGTCAGTAAAAGGTTTGGCCTCGAGCAAGGTGTAGGAGACAGTAGAAAGGTCAGGTTGGTGGACGATCTTAGTGCTAGCACCGTGAACGATGCAGTGCAAACGTCCGAGTCGCCGAAGCCACATGGAGTAGAGGTCGTGTCAGCGTTGTGCATGAAGTGCCAAGAGTGCATGCCCCGGAGACCCATGAGCGGCAGATGCTATGACTTGAAAGCGGCATACAGGCAGCTTGGATTGAGTGAGGGCGCCCTTGATGCCTCGTTCGTTACCTTCCCCGACCCAGAGTCGGGCGACCCGGTGATATACCAGACGCTGGCATTGCCTTTCGGGGCCGCGCGCTCCGTCTACTCGTTCTTAAGAGTCGCTCATAGCATCTGGTATGTAGGCTGTGCACTTGGTTTCTTATGGGCAAATTATTACGATGACTTCCCGATCATCTGTCCCGATGACGACGTCCAAGCCCTGGAAGAGTTTGTGCCACGACTTTTCAGGTTGTTAGGCTGGCGGTTCGCCGAGGATGGTAGCAAAGCGGAAAAGTTTGGAAAAACGTTTTCGTGTCTAGGGGTTGTCTTCGACTTGCGACCTTACTGCAGCGGCAGAGTCGAGGTGGACAACACGTCGACCCGGAAAAGTGAGCTGCAGGAGATCTTGAGAAAAACAGCAGGCCAGGGATTTATGTCAATCAGTGCAGCACAGAAGCTCCGGGGTCGCATGCAGTTCGCGGACAACCAGATTTTCGGTCGAGCGAGTCGCTTGTGTTTACAGGCTGTCACCGAACATATCGTTAATGGCCGAGATGAAATCGGCCCGGCCTGCAAAGATGCCATGCTGATGTATGCCAACATTCTTGAAGTGTGCAAACCACGAATACTGGCAAGGCCTTGCCAGAAACCAGTGTATCTCTTCACCGATGCGGCATTTGACAGGACCGAGGACAAACCGTGTTGCGGCATAGGAGGAATCCTGTATGACTGCGAAGGTAAGGCACTACGATTCTTTTCATGTTTCTTGAGTGTTACACTTATGCGGAAACTAGGACTTGATGACAAGAAGACCATCATTTTCGAAGCAGAACTTTTGGCATATGTAGTCGCACTGGTAGCTTGGAAAGATGCAATGAAGGGAAGACCTCTTGTCGCTTACGTTGATAACAACAGCGTGAGAGACCTGTGCATCTCTGGTCGAGGGCGGAACTTATTCGCAAAAACTCAAGCCGCACTATTCCTTACGATTGAAGACATGATCAGTGCCAACGTGTGGGTGGCGAGGGTACCAAGCCCATCGAACCCTGCTGACCTCCTTTCTCGCGAAAAGGTGGACACACTTCGTGTTGGCAGCAGGAAGATGAGGTCTTCGGATGTGGGGAGTGCCCTTAGTGAAATCCTCGCTTAGCGGTTAAGTTGGGGTTAGCCTGTCCCGCCATCCCTAGTGCACTAGGTTAGTCACTGCCGTATGGTGGTGTTTGACCGCTGAGGATCGTGGATTCCCAATGTCACCAGAGAAAAAGAGTGTCGCGCCAGCATATGCAGTGTGTTCACAGTTGCTGTGTACTTGTACCTTCGCCTGTGAGTGTTAGAACTGCTCAGAAACAACAATGAAAGAATTTTAAGCTGGCGGTCAACTTGTTGATAGCGTTTTAAAATTCTTGATTTGAAAAACTCGGGGGAGTTTTGTTTCTGATGAGACTTGGTGCAGCAGAATACATCTCCGTGCAGTGTGAGCCACAGTGGCTCAGAAGAAAAATTTTCCCGCCCACCCACCCAACTTGGGCACATTCGCAAACAGATTTTGGCTCTCGTGCCGCTCTTCAGCTCAGCTTCCTGCTGGGGCCCTGGGCTTTGCAGCTTGCACGTTGCCAGCCTTGTTAATGACACAAACTCTTGAAGCCACTCTTCTTGAGATCAGCAGCTGTGCTGATGCACCGTAGGCCGTTGCGGATGGGGTTAGCCTGTCCCGCCATCCCTAGTGCACTAGGTTAGTCACTGCCGTATGGTGGTGTTTGACCGCTGAGGATCGTGGATTCCCAATGTCACCAGAGAAAAAGAGTGTCGCGCCAGCATATGCAGTGTGTTCACAGTTGCTGTGTACTTGTACCTTCGCCTGTGAGTGTTAGAACTGCTCAGAAACAACAATGAAAGAATTTTAATTTTTTTTTACTATTTTGTCACATGACAGTGTGGTAATATACGACATGACGTTGTTTTTTTGTTGTTACATCATTTAAAGTTGAATCATACTACAACACATCCTGTCATTTTATACCATATTGTATCATATCATACCATATCAAATCATGTTATACTCTAAATTTCAGGACACTGTATTAACTTGTATTATATTATACATTGTATTGTTCTATGTTATATCATACCACATTCCATTACATTCTCATAGAATGTCATTTTGTATTGTGTTACATTTCTCCATTGTATCAGTATGATTTATACTGCATCATGCAGTATTATATTAGGTTTTATTGTGCCATATTATGTTATGTTACATTAAATGAAATCATAATGTATGATGTCATATTTCATGATTGTTTTTGTCATACTACATCATATTGTGATATCATGTTTGATTGTTATAGTGTGTTATATTGTACAATATCATGTTATTTTCAGTATATCGAATCGTATCAAAGTAGATCATCTTTTGGTATACTGTAGAATATTTTGTTATATGATAGTATAGCAGTATATTCCATAATGTTAGGAGCAAACAAAAAGGAGCAAAAAAGTTGCACCCTGTTTGAACTTCTCAACTTCTTATGCTGTCATGGCGTCGAGCATACTCTCGGCATCTAACCCTACATAAATGCAGAAATCTTCCAAATGAAAGCTTAAACCCCCAGTCAACGGTTTCACCGGATCCCGCTGTGTTTCTTGAGGCCACAAAACCTCACCGGATCCCGCTGTGTTGTTTGAGCCACAAAACCTCAGAACATGAGACAGAATCCGTAGGAATATAGCGTTTTCCGAGGAATTACCAAGCAAAACCGAAGGAAAGCACAATGATTCCGTAAGAAAGTCGTGTCTTTCCCAGGAAAAAACACAGAATTCCGTCTATGGAAATTAATGTTTTCCATTGTGAAACGCAGGAAAACAAGCTGCTTGCCCATGCTTTAGGCCAACAAAACAGCAGAAAAAAAAATCACAAAACCAATTACCAAATTAATTTCAGGCCCGTTTGCTTCAATGAGCGTATGCGTGCATCAGACATCAGGTGAAAAGTTTACGAAACCAATCCGTGTTGAGTGGAGGCATTGCAGAAACCATATTTGATATAGAACAGTTTGTTATGTACCCCACTCGCCGACTCGAAATGTCGTGCAATAACTTAAATGACGCATGTGACCGGCACTGTGGTTTCGGCACAAGAAGGCTACAAACAAAACTGGTTTTTGGCACATGCATGTGGTCTTGCTTTGCATGCGGGGGCATGGTAATTGAGGGGCACAGCACTTTAAGACGAAACGCAGTGGACCTCAAGCCCCACCCCACCCCTTACCCCAAGCTGAGAAACACCGACAATATACCGAGAACAATTTTAACACAAGTCATTATGTTTTGGCCATGGACATGTGCCGCGTGTAGGGTTCCGTGCTTGCTGCGTGCTTGACCTTACCGTTAAAGCTCCCCATCAGTTCTCACTGATTGCAACAGATGTTTCATAGCGTTTCAGCCGGCTTGATCTTGCACGTGCGAAATTGAGAAGAATGGCAAATACCAGCTCCTCGGCTGGAATTAGATGGAATTCAATGCAAAATTGTTGGTCTTTCTGTTGTGTTTTGTTAACGCTGATCGCGTGTCATCACTAGTTCTACATCGCCAGTAGTAGTAGTTGTTGACAGGTTTTAAGTGCTCGCATCGCAGCATACAAACCCTTCATGGCATGCTGTTGAGCGATATTGGCCGCCTTGCCAATGCCAAGTCCTTTACTGCATCCCTTGCATGGCATCAAGACGCAAGCACGCTCGGGTTGCAGGCGGGTGTTCTTTTGCTTTTGCGAGTGCGAGCAGCTGTGCATCGTCAGGTGGGGCATTTGGTACCAACAACGACGGTGGTGGAGCGAACCTCAGAATATTTCAGTTTGTGTTGTTGCAAAGTGCGCATGCTTACGATCCATATAACATCATGCAACGATTATGAATGAAATACATGGACCAACGCCAACCGCAGAAATGTGATCTACAATCTACAGTGTGTTTGCTTCGCGTTGATGTTCGTTTGATGTTGGCGTGTTTGATCAAAATAGCTGACGATGGATGCAATCATTGCTGGCTGGGATGCCTAGACCCGTCGTGGTGAATGTCAGTTCTTTGATGCTGGTTGGGCATGTCCATGATCAAGTGCGATCATTTTTGTGCAAGCTTTGCTTTGTGGTTTGGAGAGCAGAAGTGTTGATGGAAGTGCAAAGTCACAGGTTTGATCCAGATGCGACGAGAAAGGCGCATGACAAACCAGCGGTTGGGAGACCTGGCACTGTTTGTTTTCTTGTTGCTTTGTAGATCGTTCATCGAAAAGATGCCAGCGCCGTCATACTGCCATGCTTTAGCCAGGCATAGGATTCAGCCCGCACCCTACATCAGGTTGTGGGAACCAAGTACATCTTCATCAAAAGCCAGGCAAGACCATCGCCGTGAGTTGTTGATCTTCGGACAGCAGTCACACAGGTCCCTGTCGTGCTTCTGCACACTCCTCGGGTGTCGTCACATTGTACATGGTGTGAGGTGCTTTTCGAGTTTGCATTGTGTGTTTTGCGTCTTTGAAGTTGTTGTGGCCAGTTTGCGACTAATTTCATGTTCTCCCATAACTTGCCGCTTAGGCAAACCATCCGTGGCGCAGGTAGCTCGGAAGTTCTGTCGACATGAGGAAGCGTAAGATTCGCTTGGAAACTGCTGTTGAAAAAAGCTGGTGATATGCTCAGGTTGGAACGAAGGGGCAGATCGTCAACGTCAGGTAGTGGGGAAGAGTCGTTACTTTCCGCTATTGAGGAGATGCCTGTGATCAGCCCATATCCTTGACATTTCCTTTGGCAGGCGTGGGTATGCGCGGCATGTCCTGGTACCAAATGGACTGGCGGCCTTCGGCACGTGGGAAAACATCGATGTCGCAGCCCCACATGTGTAACTTCCCGACCTGCATGCGGTTCTGCAACAAGATTTGGCGGTAGTGGTTTGAAAGATGAGTAAGACGTTCATGTTGGAGGCATTTGCCGATCCAACATTGATCGCTGATCCCACGCTGAAGGCGCATCTTGTTGCCACACGTGCGTTGCTTTCGGTTATTGTTGGTCTGATTAACGATGACACTGCGAGCTGTGCATCTTTCATGACTTTGTTGTGTAGTATGCATTTCAAGATATGTCATGAGGGCCATGCGCAGGCGCGTGCTGCAACGGAGAGGGGGCAACTGCCATTTGATTGGGTGTCCCGGCTGCCATTTCCAACCAGTGCTTGTGATGTCTTCAGTTGCACCCGTAGTTGGCGTGACTATGCAAAGCGGCAAGGTGGGCGATGTCCGTCTGAGATTTGTACGCCCTGCTCGCGAGGTCTGAGAACCTTTGCACGAGTTTCGTTTGGAAACTTGACCTGGAACCCGTACTAGGATCAAAACATGGCGCTGCTCGAGCCCGTTTCCAAATGGGACGTTCTTGAGGACGGTCACGACATGCTCACCCTTTGTCCTTCTCGATGTCGTCTCAGTTTCCTGAAAGCTTCTGACAGGTTTTGAGCCGTCAAGAAACAAAAGCGAATACTTCAGGTCTACTTCGCAATCAGAGACTTCCGATGTTTTGAACCGAGTCTGCCGAAACCAAGATTCTTTTGGCAATTATCATGACTTTGTAGCAGCGGTACTGTGTCGCAGCGGTGGGGTTTACACTAATCTACTCTTTGTACGAGATCACAGGGGACGGGTCTGTTTCATTTTCGTTCCGTTTGGACATGCTCGTTGCATGCAACCAAAATGAATCCTACAGTCCAGACAGACGCTTTTGTAGAACCCAACTGTTTGTGGGGGATCCTGACTTGAATCCACCAGCTCTAGATCCACTCCGCCTGCACTTCCTCAAGTAACCAGGCCGAAATCTGCCAAAAGCATGTGCATGCATTCAGTTTTATCAAACAATCTCAACATCGACGAAAGTCGGCGACACAAGTCGTTTTGAGATCTGAAGGACCTTTCAGCCAACCACGAGTTGGACCTGCTCCCGGGCAGTGCGACTCACGGCTTGCTCGTGTCATGTCGTTTCTGAAGCTCCTTGCATTCTCAGATCTGGACGTTCCTGACGGTGGTCTGAGCAGAGCTGGATTGCATGAGGTTGCAGTGTTGATTATGCCGTGTTGTTGCAGGGGCGTTTCTGCGCAGTCGGGATGCTTCAGGTGGCTGTGAGCATTCCCTTCCGCAACCCGGAGACTGCAGCAGGCGACAAAATCCATGCTACTGGTAGCCGATACTGCCGAGTTCCTTCCTGATCTAGTGCCACACGCAGCTAGCCAACACCACTGTGTGGGGGAGGAAAATACACGATTCTGGTGGACGTGATCTCCAAGCAGAGCCAGGAATAGTATGGTGCATTAGCTTTCCGCGACGACCTTTGTTGCACCTCTGCTCTCTGCCACTATGCATGTTCATGGTCGTAGGAAGAAGAGCTTCAGCGTGAAGAAATGAAAAAGGCACAGACAATTGCATGCGGATCTGCCATTGACTCTTCCTGCTCACATCAGGCTTTGGAGCAGGGCATGAGCTACAGACTGGTACAACGTGGTGGAGCAGTTCAGGCGATGAAAGCTTCTTTTCGGTGATTTTTCTTCCTGCGATCTGGGACAGGATCTTGCCGATGAAGATGATGCTGACGAAGAGTTTGTCGAGTGAGAAAAAGCTTCTGTTGAAGCATGTGAAGGACGCATGCGCTGTCGGCCACTGTGCACCCACTGCATCCACTGCATCCACCTGCACCCGCTCATGTCCTGATCCTCAAGACCGTCGTGTAGCGTGTTCGGGGTCCTCGCGATGTCGCCCCGAGGTGTGCAGTCGCAAGCACAAGTTGTGGCATTGCTGCATGAAGTGGGAGTGCAGACCTGTGCAGGTGCGGAGCCTTCGTCTGGACGCTCCTGGCGTCGGCCACACCCATGCCCGGGGCTCATCGAAAGCTATGGCGAGCATAGAAAAGTCTGTGCAGCAGATTCGTCTCAGGCCTTTGCTGGAGGTTGACGAGGCACATGTGAGGTTCTCGCGTCATAAGGTTTATAGTCTCCTGTTACTCCCAGCACCTCGCCGTAGTTTTACTCACTAGTGTTATTGGGGTGCGGCCACGTGAGATGTTAAAGCGCAAAACGCCATCTTGCCGAGCCTGCCTACGCGATGCGATCACAACCTTCGCACACATCCCTGCTACAGCTGCAACATATCGTTTCGTGCAGCTCAGTTCCGGTGCTTGTAGCATCTTGCAGATTGCAAGAAAAAGAAGCGTGTGGCCACACGGCTGCTCAACCCCGCCATAAGCAGTCCGTGCAATCCACTTCGGGTGACTTCACAGGAACACAATTGGCTGTCGGGCTGTGGTCAGGGCGAGAGATCGGGATCACATCTTACCATTGTGAGCTTACGCTTGCGACAACAACACCATGAGCACAACCTTGAAATTCCGCAACTTGACCCAAAAGTTGAAACCGTCTCGCTCAAATTAAACCCAGCCGAATTCGTAAAGCCCAGATTCTGGTATGGGAGACGTGCAGAAAAAGTCTGATCCTCCAACCTGAAAGCCATCGAAGATCCGAAGTTCCTACTGCAAAGTTAATGTCCTGTGCCGTTTAAAGACTGGACGTTTCTGAAAATCGGCACAGTCGCCATGACCCATATCACATATGAAGTTGTGCATGTACACGAGCATGAATCACACCCGCGCACTGAACCGCACTTGCAGCTTCGGGGTCTTCCAACAGGGAGGTGATGGCGAGAGTGCGATCCTCCTTCCAGTCGTTGACTGAAGTCCCTTCGCCCGGCTTGTGTGGTGACCAAAGCTCGACACTTAGTAAGCTATTGATGCTGTAGTTACTGTAGTTATTATTGAATAATTGGAGGTCTAGTGCTGAAGCACAGCCCACAGAGAGTGTGACAGTGAAACTGTGTGATGGAGTTCGGCATGGACGTCCGAGAGGGAACTGGGCGCGAGAAGGTGGTCGTCCGTCACATTGATCCATGTGTTGACATCCGCCTTGGGCAGTCAGTTGACCCTCGACATTGAGCATCAGCAGCCTCAACCTAGGCATCTTGATGTGCTCAGAAAATCGACCGGCCCTGGTGGACGAGGCGGCTCAGCGAGGCTCACAAACTCCGCCAGCCGGGTTGGAGTGACGCCATGCTGCAAATTGCGCTGAAACGAACCCGGCCGCTCCACCGTCCACGTGCTCCACCCGAAACGAGCAAGAGATCCGGCCACGAAAAGCCCTCTGTTGCTTGGCCGCACAGCTGACCCCGTCAGGATAGCCGCTATGGCTGAGCTACCTGTAGATATTGCGTGAGCACGACTTTGAGAGGAAGCGAATCCGAGTCGGGTACTGTGGCCATATCGATGGGCTGCGAATTGAGGGGAGCACGATTCATCAAGTTCGGAAGCACCAAAGCATCGGATTCTACAGTGAATTCGGTGGATTGCGCGGCCGGAACAAGACTGCGGAAAGAACATGACTGCGGCGTGACGGCACCCGGAAACGCCGGGTGCTGCCTCCGGGGCTCACCTAGGAACTCCATGGTGGAACAGAAGTTTGCAGATGCATCCATATGTGCATGCATGCATGTATAAATGAAAATATGTACATGTGTCAAGTTTTCCGTCCCCCGCCACACTACGAGCAAGTGGTCGCCGGCAGGATTTGTCGGTCTCCTTGACATGGTCCGTTGACGAGGACGCCGGGTTGCGCATGCGAAGCAACTCGCATCAGCAAGGGCTGCTTTGTAGGGCGTCATGTCATAACATGATGGGCGTTTAAATTTGCACCATTTCGCAGGTACACTATGCATTTAGTGCAGAAAAGCAAGCATGCGAGATTCTCCCTGGCAGTTTGATGCCCTCATGTTTTGTTCGTAGAGCTGATGCCAAAGCCTGCTGGACCCCCGATTTTGCATGAAGAAAGTGCTCCTTTCAAGATGTGGTTCAGGATACGAATGGGTGTTGGTGCATGCAGTGAGCAAGTGCTTGACCTTCACTTTTACCATGAGTCTAAGTTGTAGCGACGTCGCCCTGGTAGAGGATGCAGCGTCTCTGACGCTGATCATGTGCTTGTGATTCATGCATTGAGAAAGGATGGCACATTGCGGCACAACCCCTCTGGAATGCGGGTGCGCCCATGCAGCTAACTACGGCATCTGCACAGTTATTTGAGTGGACAAGATGGCTTGCTTGTGTTTCGCAGGTGTCGCCCGACAAGGGTGTCGTGGTGGACGGCAGGGAGTACAAGCTTTCACCTCAAGATATTGACCTGGACCCGAGACTGACAGTGCACTTAGACTTTGTGTAAGAAGCTCAATTGTCCCATTTGCTATCCGTGCGATTTCTTCATCAGTCGTAAGGCTTGGGGGCCTGCAAACTCTCACTCTTTGTTATTTGTTTTGAGAGTTGCAAGAGGGGTTAAGTAGCACTGCAGCAGTAGTATATAGTGGAGCTAGCAGTAGTGAGTCGTTGTCGTAGTCGCAGTAATTTCAGGCAATGAACATGCGGGGTCGTCGTAGTAGTCAGAGGAGTCATGGCAGTTGCGTGCTCGTAGTAGAAGTGGCCGTAGTAGTAGCAGCTGCAGCAGTAGTAGTAGTAGTAGTAGTAGTAGTAGTAGTAGGAGTAGGAGTAGTAGTAGTAGTAGCAGTAGCAGAAGAAGTGGCCGTGGTCGTAGTTGTAGTAGCTATAATAGTAGTTGTCGCAGCAGTGGTGCTAGCGGTGTAAGCGGTGGTGGAAGTTGTGGTAGCAGTAGCAGTACTAGAAAAGAAGCAGCAGCAGTTGTAGTCGTGTTCGTGGTCGTAATCGTGATCGTAGTCGTAGTAGTAGTAGTAGTAGTAGTAGTAGTAGTAGTAGTAGTAGGAGTAGTAGGAGTTGTAGTAAGCAGTCGGTTAGTTCGTAGTAAGTATTCTCCTTGTAGGAAGTAGTAGTGAGCATTAACAAGCAGTAGTGTGCAGTAGTAAGAAGTGGCTGCAGTAGTAGGCAGTAGTAGGCAGCAGGCAGTAGCAAGTTGTAGTCACTACATGGTAGCAAATAGTAGTCCGTAGTAGCAAGGTGTAGTACGGAGTGGTAAGCTGTCGTCAGTATTAAGTAGTTAGCATGTAGCATGTCGTGAGCAGCAACTAGTAAGCAGTTGGTGTGTGTAGAAAGGATTAAGGAGCAAGTAGTAAGAAGTCAAAACCCATGTTCTTTGCCGTATTTTGCCATAACCTGTTAGGCGCTTGAAATGCATGTTTCCGAGTGCCCGGCCTGCGCTGCCCGCGCCATTGGCCCCGAGCCATTTTTTCCAGATTGTTTTGCAACGGCAAGGCTTTAGGCACTTGAAGGCAGGAAAACCACGGGTGCCCCACCGGCCGACGTGGCTTCGGGCTCCGGCCTCCACTTCACCCAGCCGAAGTTGCACCACGCGTATGAGCGACGACCAAAATAGCGATAGTGGGAAGGACAAGCACAGACATTGCGGCTCGGACGGTGACAGTCGATGGCAACGCAGCGACGACATTCCCTTCTTCGCGCATTCACGCTCATGCCAGCAGCCGGCATATGCTGGGTCCCTGTGTTTTCAAGACTCTGCTTGCCTACAAGACCTTTTGTCTGTGCAACCCACTGATCTTGAACAAATCCGGCCGGCTGTGACAACATCTGGACGCGTGTGCCCCACTGTGCACCAGTGCGAAAGCAGAACCGATGTCAACAGTCGCCTTCGTCGCCAAAGCAGACACCGTGAGCACAGGTTTGGCATAGATTGATGAGTATCGGTGAGCGAATCGCAAATCGAGCGCTTGGAAGCTTCATGGTGGGCGGCAGCCAGCATGCGGCATTGGTAATCCCGCAGGCAGCATCGGACAGATCGGACGCATCAAAGCACAATTGCTAGAACAGGCGAGAGTCAATCAATGCCCGGTAGGTCCACCAGTCCATCGGTTTTGCGCGGCTTGGCACGGGCTGGCTTGGCAGTTGCTGTATGTAGCTGCAATCCTTTACAAATCTTTGCCCTTCAAAGCGACGGTGGCACATGGCGTCATGTGCAGATCTTTAAACTGGTGTTGTTTCAGGTTTTTAAGCTTGCCGGGAGCGAAGGACTTCCACTTGAATTAGCTTGAGCTAAACTTCATCCACACAACCTGTCACCTGAAGCCGGTTTGCAACGGCGAGGAATATCAAGCTTCTGATCAAAGTGGCAAATGGTACATCCCTCGACAAATCGCCGGGCCATGCAGTCATTCTCGCTTGCAGGATCGCGACTGCACCCTGGGAACCGGCGCAGGAGGTGTCGCAGGAATCCCAGAGCAGACAAGGACAGTACGGCCGAATTTGTTACTCCCTAGCCAAGGTCCAAGCTGGAGTCCACAAGCCAACAGGAATGCGAGTTGCGATCAAGACGGTGCGGTCTTGAAGTGTTGCAAGGCGGAGTCCTGAATTCAATCGATGCAGGTGAAGGTTGACAACAAAGAGAAGCGTGAACAGATGCTACAAGAGATCAAGGGCCTCGTTCTTGCCGCCTGGACGAAATGATAAGGAAGCGCATTCGGCCTCGACTCGAAATTTTCTATCCGGGTTCAAGGGCTTGTGTAAAGCAAGGCACATCCTCATTAATGAAAGCTTGAAGGTTAAACGAAGTCGCTTCTATCGTAGCTTGTGAATGATTTCCGGGCTGCAGCCGGCCGCTTGAGGCTGCTGGCTGCCCCTACTTGGTTCAATGGTACGCCGGCTTCGTGGGCAAGGCGGGGCCCCAGGTGAACCGAGCAGCTCAGCAAGTGAAAAGCGGCCTGAGTTTCAGGACACCGGGCTCGTGCACGTGGTCTTGCTCCGAGTTGAGTCGAAGAAGTTCTGCCCGAGCTTCTCCCGAGCTTTTCGTGTTCGCTTTGGGAGGTCGTGGAGCTGATGGATCGGGGCAGTCTTGCCGACCTGCGGAGGCTTCACCGTTCAAAACGGCGTCACACAGCAGATTGAAAGCAAGTTGCCGGCTTTCATTGTTACTCAGGCGTTTGGCAGCTCCTGTTCCGCGGGGACCATAGCTGCCCACACCTGCACTCAACTGGCTGCTGATGATTGCAGAGGATTTCTCTGATTCGCAGGGCTTGGGTGTCACGGAGTTTGCAGTGATCAGAACGTGGTATGTCCAGTTGCAACGATGTCGGCGGAGTAGCTTTGTGCGAGTACCGCAAAGGTTTTCTACGCCTTTCCAGACCTACAGGTCACGGAGTTTGTCTTGGCCGAGTTTCCCGGTGCCTTTGTTTCCGGTTCGTGTCTTGTCACGGTCTTGTCCTGGTATCCTGGAATTCCAGTGTGCGGTCTCAATGTTATCAGTTTTCTCGGTGTCCTCCGGCGCCTCGAAATTTTGTCAGATCACGGTTGTCGTATGGCACCCTGTGCCGATGTCTGGTTTCGGCATGGCATTGCGTTTTCTTGTGTTTCCGAATGGTGTTTCGGCCGGGCGTAGTGTGATGTAGTGTGTCTTTCTGAAAATAAGATGCACATTATACTCATTATACGTGCAGCATCATGCAGCTACTACATTTCGCTTTCTCGCTTTGGGGTGCGGAATCCGAGCCGGCTGCAGCCCAAGGTGCAATTGCTTAAATGGAAAAGGTGAGACGGCGGAACACTTCGTGGGAAAGAATGAACCTGATCATTTCCCGCAACCTGCCTGCAGACTCTGCAAATCGAACCATACAAAAGAGGCAGCGAACCAAATCCCGGCTAGATTATGCTAGACAGTCCTGATGGCGGCCGTTGTCGTGCTCAACTGCGTGAGACCGAGCAAAAGAGTGCAATCAGTCCCACAGTGGCAGCCAGACGCGAAATCCCATCATGATCTTCGTGACGGAAATGGACGATGTTGCGTGCCAATCCTGGTTGGGCCCAACCCTTTTTGACCGACCAGTGAGGAGGAGGACCGAATCAGAATCGGGTACTTGTGTGTCCTCGTGCACGAGTCTCGGCTGGGCACACTGGCTTCCGAGATCTCCAGCGCATCAAGACATTTGGCACGAGCCAGCAACCAAATCAGCTTGGCATAGCCAATTCGCGACCGGGCACTGCCGCTACAAGGCTGTGCTTGAGCGCTGGTGGCCGTGCCTGGCGAGGCCGCACCGCTAGCCCACATGCGCTAGACATGCCGCCAGCAGACTCCACGAGGAATTTCTGCATGCTACTGTACCAGCTGGACCGACCTTTCTGAGGCAGAGGTCACCAACCTGTCGCAGGACATGCGCAGGACGATAACTGCCAGGTTTGCTGCCCGGGAGACCGCTACCACGAGGATTGTGCTGTGTCCAGGCCAGGCAGGCTGCAGTGGCTGCAGCTACAAGACGCCAAAACTCCGTGACGAGGAGGAGGAGGAGGCGGAACTCGATAGGCTGGCCGAGGAGGACAACCATGCTAGACAGGCTCCTTTGCGGGCAGAAGTTGCAGCGACAGCGACCCAGGGCCCCGGTAACAGGTCGATGGCCCCCGCGACGCTAGAAGCCCTCTGCGAGAACGCGAGCTATCATTAATGTCCACGCGGAGGGAGCTACGGATTGGGACAGAGATCCCAGCTCTGCCAATCGGTCGCATGCGACCCCCATGCTGTCTTTGGCATCCGATATGCCAAAAGGCAGCGTTCCGCGACCGCCATCTCTGGCCGCTAAGCAGCGAGGATGGCCTTTGGCCGCACTGCCCGAACGGTGGCAAAGAGCCCACCAAGGGCTCGGCGCTTGCACACCTCTGGCCAACTTGTGCACTGGAGCAGCGACGTCGACGTTGCATTGCCTGTGCAATCCCGTCGTCGTGCCGGGAAATGGCCTGTTTGCTGGCCCCGTAGTCTTCGGACCCGAAGGTCCGCTTTGCCCACCGAAATTAGTAGCTTTCTGCATCGCAAGCATCATGTCCGAAGCGGGATTCTCGCCATCTTCCGCAACGGCCCCCTTACTGCTGGGCCGCGAGGTCTCCATGTGGTCGTACGCACGCCTATTCTTCGGAGAGGCAGACCACGATCCGCCTCCTGCTCCTCCTTTGTGGTTGTCATCCTTGCTTCGTGCGTCCTCTTCCGGGTCTGCAGGCAGTGTGTGGTGGCTAAGCAGCAGCCGCAACGCCGAGCGAGGCTGCACATATTGAATATGTGCATGTGCCCAGCTAACATACATGCATGCATTCGCCGTGCATATGTGAACGCATTCATGCATCCTGCATGTATCCGTCCATCCTTAGACACTTGCTTGCATGGCCTTGCATGTATATTCACCCAGATACGGCTATCCATTTTTGCATTTCAACATATTGTACATGTATGCATGCACTTGCATCGTATGTTTTGTACACTTATGTAGATGGAAAATAGATGTGAGCAAAGAAACAGCTGACCAAATACATGAATACATACATAAACCGATGATAGGTCTGATAGGTAAATAATTGCATACTGTTGTACACATCTTGCGAATGTCCAGGCCGAATCACGTGGCGTGCATCGCTGCTCAAATAATGCGGGGACTCGAACATCTGCACAGCAGGCTGGATGGCTGGCAAAAGTCCTTTAACGTCTCTCGTTGTCGTGTGTTGTCCTCACTGAAGGCGGCTTCTTCACAGAGACATCAAGCCCGAGAATGTCTTGCACAACGGATTGGGCCAGGTGACGTTTTTGATCCGGCTTGTCGAATGTGCAGTGGTCCTCACTTCAGGTCAAGCTCACAGACTTTGGCATATCAAAGGACGATTTCCAACCCACCCTCATCGTAACATATCGTAACAGATAGTGAAAGGTGCCATGTTTGAAGAGGCATGCGAGATAAGACCGTGCATCTGCAGTTCCTTGCTACTGACTTCTGAAGTGCACGATCGTCTTCTTGGACTGTTTGGTCTGGTCCACATTCCCATTGTGCTGCGCTGGGCCTGCTACACTGTTGAAGATGTTCTAGTCAGTGCAAGCAGGATTTGACATCCACTGCCGGTGTGGCAGCGAGCTTCGTCGGAACCGCGAACTACATGTCGCCTGAGCGCGCTCTGGGAAAGGACGGCTGGTTTTTCGCACTTCCTGCCTTCGCGGCAGAGAGGGTCTGTTGCACCATGTTGCACCCCTTGTGTTGTCGAACTTCTCTCTCTGTGTGTGCAGAGTCAACGCAGTCCTTGTGTCCTGTAAGTCAACTGGTGGTTCATACATTTTCAATTTTTGTGTATCTGAGTAGGTGTGCACAGGCTCGATGCTTTGTCTTTGCAAACCGTGTTGCTGGAAAGGACTATTCCTTCAGGCCAGCTTCCAGATATCCCACTTCGTGAGCTAGGATAGCAAGTGCGGCTGTGTGCGCGTTCTGCGTTGGGGCATTGCAGCTCACTGCGATCTTCAGGTCAGATGTTGGGCTCTTGGCTTCGTGATGTCCGTACGGACTTAATCCATACTTGAACCTTGAATGAGGTCTGGAGTGCCGGGATGGTGGTGTTCGAGCTGGCCCATGGGCAGTGCCCGCAGCGTCGAAGTAGATGTGTGTTGTTTTGTTTTGGCGTGTTTTCTGCTTGTCTTCTGTATGACAGTTCTTGTGATAGGGGTGACAGCTCCAAAGCGCAACCAGATGGAAGCAAGGTTATGTGTTTATGCGTTTCTCTCGCTACTTTGGAGGTGCTTCTCGGGCTTAAGCCGGATTCTGTCAGCCTCGATGCGGCTTATATCAGCGCTTCCAACAATCCGCACGTGTTGGTAATTTGTAATGACTCGTCTTACGACTTCTGCGTGTTACGCACATGCTTATTATCGTACCTGTAACATATAATTATAAGACAACTGTAACAGTGTTAAAGAGATAACAAGTGTGTAGGAATGGACGTTGATATTCATGAGAACATCACGAGTCATGATGCTTTTCACGTGACATCACTTTCGTTTGGGAAGCAAAAGTCACTGCCGCAAATTTCCACTGATACAAACACTGTTCCTGTTTGAACCGCGGAACCCGGAACCGGGAACCCGGAACCAAGAACCCGGAACCGGCGGAACCGGGAACCCGGAAAGCCAGAACCCAAACCAGGGACCCGGAACGGAGATCCGCCCTTAGACGTTCTCCTGTGCCGCAATCAATATCAATCAAGTATCAAAGTAATCTTCAAGCCGCTAACGGCCGCGATACGGGGTGCGGCGTTCCACCGGTGGGGTCTCCATACGGCGGCACGGAAGGTTCTAGGGGGTGCGGCACGGGAGGTTCGGTGGGAGTCGCGAGACAGGGTGCCACGGAGGTTCCATCGATGGGTCCGGGTGCAATCGGGGTGCGGAGCGCGAGGTTCCACCGGTGGGGTCACGATACGGGGTGCGGTGCGGGAGGTTCACCCATGAGGGTTCTCGCATTTTCATGTTCAACCACCCGAATATAGCGGGCAACAGACGATCTCTCCGTAGGGTTTGGGATTTGGGGTGTGGGGTTTCGGACTGCGGCCCATTACTACCACTGCTTTCCTCGGAATTGCTTCACGTAGAGTGGGGCATATGCCAGCCTACCCAGAGGCTCCCCACCTAATGGCTCATAGGAGACTTGCACTCGAGCACCCCGGAACCCCATAAAGGGGCACCAGCGCGCCAATCTTCAAAGATACCAACGGCACCCAGAACAGAAGTTGCGGAAGACAGTTGCATTCATGCTGTGTTCAGTGTTCTGTCTTGGGAAGATCTCCCGGTTCCTGCAACCGGCTCTCCCCGAACGAAGACACGGGATCTTCAGCCGAAAGTGAGTCGTGAGTCAGCTGCGGCATCTCTGGGCAAGGCCCCAGGTCGCCATCCTTCCGGGCAAGCGGCAACGGCAGGCTCCATGAAGTAGAGTGGTGACGTTAGAGGATCCAGGAAGGGGATCCAACCCAGGTCGGCAGAGAATTCAGAGGGCTCTGACCCAACACGGTTTCTCGACGAGTCGTAATGTGTTTTTCCGCTAGCTCGCAACAGCAAGTCGTATGCCGCAGCCGTTCGACTTAAGTGCATGTCCGCTCCGCTACCCGACGGTGTGCACCAGCTTTTGAATTTAGGCTGTCACGGCTTGATGCCAAGGAGGAATTCCGACCCCGGCGACATCGTCGTCGGGCCCGCAGGAAGTTGAGTTCCAGCTCATCTTCTCGACCCCGCCCCTGTTAGTTTTGGCCTTCTTCCTGTCTCCGTCAGGCGACGGCGGTCCTGCAGTCCTTCGTTCCGGAGGCCTGCCCTGACCTCTCTACTCCTGCCTGTACCTCTGACGGGTTCAAGCCTTTTGCTCAGTCTCTTTAGCAGATCCGGTCCAGCTTGTTCCGCCCAGGCCCGGCCCGGTGGCCGTGGATACCCAGGCCTGCCTGCCGCTGTTTCCGTTTTTTGGCTTAGTTGCAGGCATGGTGCACTCAGCGAGCATGTTCCGTTCCGCAGCCGCTTTCAGCAGTTCGCACTTTCTCTTTCGATCTCTACCCTTTGACTCTCCCGCCATGTGTCAGATGGCTCGTGGCATCCCGAGCTTGGTGGGAAAGCTTGGCCGCGGGTGGAAAGCTGGGCTGCTTGGCCGGCACCTGTGTCGGGGCGGGTGCAGCCGGCAAGCCTCCGGTGGTTGGGGGATGGGAGGGTGGCTTATCGTCTGCTTCTCGACTTCACCGAGCTTATGACCTCTATACCTGCGATGATGTTTACGAAGCCCTGGCGGTTTGCCGCCCAGCCATGTTTTCCACCTCAACGGCCTCCTGTCCAGACGTATGCGGTGTGTAACCTCATCCAGGTTGACATTGAGGTTCCGGTCCCAACGATGAGCTCTGTCCGACCCAATTGTGGCAGTCGTGACTGCAACAACCACGGATGCGGAGATGCCCCAGGCCGGAAGGCGGAGACTGGAGCGGAACCCATGCGGGCAGGTCCCTTTCTTCAAAGCAAGAAAGTTCGGCACACCGCCAGGAATCATCCCTCGGAAACGGGGCGGCCATGGCGGGCAGGTTTTTGAATTCGGTCCAGCCCTCATGGTACACCAGGGGCCGGTATTCTGGCGGCGAGGGGCGGTCCATTAAGACGGGGCGGTTCGGGCCATCGGGCGGAAGGTGGCTGGTGTCCGTCAGCAAGCCGGGCCGAGTCTGGGCGAAGTCGGCCACGGACGCGCGGGTGATTCGGGACGGACTGCAAGTTCCCCTGCCCGCGGTCCGAGTTGCATCCGGTGCTCCCTCCGCCCTGTGTTGCTGTACAGCCATACCGAACACACGGGGCATAAATGCGCATACTGCATTCAGGACGGCTACTAATCGCCCCGACCCGGCCTCTCCGATAAAGTCCCGCAGTTCGGCCTAATGCTAGCTTTCCTGCCCGGCCCGTCCTGAATGCAGTTTTGCTGCCGGGGCTCCGCCCCCCGCTTTGCGCTGCCGGCCCGACCGCCTGTGTCCCGCCGCCGCGGCACCAAAAAGGGGTGTGCTGCCCTGCACGCTTGCACAGCATTTCTTTTTCATGGCATTGCATCCTTGCGGCATGTTTCTTGCTGCAGGCTATCCCCGCTGACATTCCCAACCAGGTTGCTTTCGGGTTTCCCCTTTGGAGTGCTCTGCTTCTTTAGTTTGCTTTGCACCTTTGTTCTGGCAGGTACACCGCGCGTCGGGTGCCGGTCCTCCGGCTGCTCCTGCCCCGGCTGCTCAGGATCTCGTGTTCCTGCTCCGGAGTCAGGCGTCTGCCGTCCACAGCGGTTGGAATTTTTGGACGATGCCCCTGCCTCACCCCGGCTCCTGCCCCTGCTTCGGTGGCCCAGGGGGCTCTTCACGATCGCCGTCGTTGCTGGTCCCTGACCTGCCAGGCCCCGACATCTTGCGTGCTGTCGAGCCGGCTTGCGGTGCGAGTGTGGCTCAGCTCTCTTCTGATGCCTGGTGTCCGGGGGCCCAATACTGCCTCCGGCGCGCTTTCCGCAACTCTGGTACTGTGTGATCACGCCAAAAAAGTGGGTCTGCCTCCGCGTGAGTGCCTGCCCGCCTTTGGTTGTTGAGCTCAGTTGCCTCATGTTGCCGCCCTAACACTAATCGAGTTCGCGCCACCTGAAACCCGACCGGAGCTATTTTGCTTCCGTCCGCACCGGTTCAGCAGGACCTGGAGGACCTCACCGACGACCAACTGCTCGACTTGCTCCGCCGGTGCAGCGTGGGATTCATTGCTCGTCTCGTCCGTCTCTGTACGAGCATCCTCCGCCCGGCCCGGCTGCAAGTGTATTGCTAGTTGGCAGGCCAACGCGTGCGGTCGCCGGATTGATCATCCCACCCCGGCCCGGGATCATCAGAACCATGCCTGCCGAGTCTGCCATCGCTTTGGCTGGTGAGGTCGCGTCCTGGCCCGTTTGTCTCGCCGACCTCCATGCACACGGCCTGGCCGCGGGGAAGGTTTTTGCCTGTTGGAGCCCGGGCCGACTGTGCCCCGGGCCCTATAGCCGATGTCCTGGATGTGTATCTGCCAGCATGCCGCCCTTACCACTGACGCATGCCTTCCTGAGTTCTGTTGTACCTTTCTGCCCACAGCCATTTTCAACTCAGCTGCCAGTGTAAGCCGTCTCGTGCACTTTGTGCCCTTTGGACTTATCATGTCCGCTAGCCTTGAGGCCTTGTGTATGTTCTCTCTTCCGGCCCTTCCGTCCATTACTTGCACCGCTATACCGCGATCAAAGCCTTCCCCCGCTGGTGCACGTCGCTGTTAGCTCGGACAAATGGCCGGCGTTCCGTTCTAGCCTGTCGGCCGAACTGTTCACGACCCGGAACATTGGACTTTCTAGCTGTCCCAAGGGCTGCCGCCCTGTCTCCGTCGGTGGCCGGGAGGTTTCTTCCTTGAGTGAGGTTCCTTCCGGGTTTCCTGGGGAACGCCGCATCTGGATTTCCGTCAGCTCCCCGCCGGATTCCGACCGCAAGCTTTCTCCGGAGTCTAAGGCTGTGCTTCAGTTGTGGTCCTCCTGTCTGGAGCATACCCCCCCGATTTTTTTCCGCTCCCTCTTGCCCCACAGTTCCATTGTGAGGCCTTTGCTGATGCCTGTGCTGACTCTAGGCATGCGGGTGTTGGGGGTTTCGTTCGGGGACCGTCGGACCGCACCGTCTGGTTCCGAGTCCGCTTCAGTTCCGCTGACCTCTCCATGCTTCTCCCGTGGTATTCGACCGACTCCTCCCCGAGAAATTTATTGCCACTTAGGAGCTATTTGGACAGCTGGCCCTGCTGTGGTGCGTGGCCACCTTGATTCCCGCCGCACACCACCCTGTCCACTTTATCAGCCGATGTGATAACGGCCCGTCCGACGCCGCGAGCTGGAAAGGCCTCCCCACCGCCCGGGGATTGTGTCACTTGCTGCATAAGTACTTTTTATGGCAGCGCCATTTCTGCATATCCAGCTATATAGATCACGTCCCGGGCTTCAAGAATACCGTCGCCGACGGTCTGAGTCGGGATTCCGATCCGTCCGACTTTGGACTACACCCGTCGGACGAGATCTCAGTTCCTTGGAATATTCTGCCCTGTTCGCATCGTTTTTCCGGCCGAGGCTCATTCTCGTACCTTTTTTCCGGCCATGGATTTCTGACTTTGGCTGATTCTTCCCGGATCGGGTACTCCATTTCCTGTGCTCGTATCATCTTGGCTGTGCATCAACCAAAGTCCTTCCCGATAACCGACCCGACCGGTGGCCTCCGGTTTCGGCCCGACCGGTTATCCGAATACAGATCCGTAGCTGCTTTCCGTCGGTCGGCTCCGGGCCTACCTTCCCGAATAGCCGGTCCGGATCTGCTGCGGTTTCAGCCAACGGAAAAAAGTGTGCCTGTCCGCTTTTCCTGCACACCGGACGTAGCGGACTAGTGCTAGCGCAATAAACCTCCGTGATAGTGGCGAGTGGGCCTGCACATGCCGAATGTGAGTAGAAGGAAGATTCCCAATAAGTGCCAAAGCAAAACCCAGCTTCAACCCATCGGCCTTGGCTTCGTGCGTCCAGCCGCACTTTCTGGCCGCTTTAGTGGCCAGGGTTGCCAATTAGTCAATTAGTTATGTCCGATGTGTCTGAAACTAGAGTACGGCACGACCATCCGTGTGAACTTGCTGCGAGCCTTGCAGTCAGCTTGCAGTGCGGTTGGTCAAGTCTGAAGTCATGTGTTGAACTCACAGGTACCCATACAAGGCGAAGAACTTTCTTGACTTATATGAGGTGTTTAGCCTCAGTGCAAGTGTTGGACGGACGCTTTGTCAGCGAATGGCTGACGTTCCAGCATGCGGTATGTTGTTTGAGCTAAGTGCCTGTGCGCGCAGCCCGAGTCTGGAACTTAGCATCGCTGATTAGCCCGGGCTGGGGCGGAAGCGCATTCTGTGCCAGGTCAAGTGGTCGCTGTTAAGTCTGCCACTCTGACAGGCGAGGCTTGTCCTTCGGTGATACTGCACTGAGGCCACGATTGGACACCAAAGCGTTTCCCGCTGCACTGTGCGGCTTTGTCGCCTTGTGCTTGAAGCGCGATGACACAGCGTGCAACCCTTGGAATAGAGAATCAATGAGAGCCATTGCTGATTGAAGTCTGCAAAAGCAAGGAAGCTGAGAAACAAGTCCAGACACACTGCAGATCTCTGCAGGCGACCCGACGTCCAGTCGTTGGTTAAGCACGAGCTTGTGGTAAGCCAAGGCTGACTTAGAATTCTGTGGAATACCCTTGGGGCCTGAGGGCCTTGAACATGCAAGCCCGAAGCCCGACCTTTGCAGGTGCGGAGCAGATCAAGCTCTTGGCAGAATGGCTAGCAACGTCTGGAACCTGATCTGTTTTCCAAGAGCGCAAACAGACGGCCTTGGCAGAGTTCCTTCATGTTTCTTCAAAGTTTGAGCAAGAAGATTCTAGCATAAACTTGATTTTGAGGCCTCGTAAGGCCTGGCAGCCATTATTCTGATAGGTTCAGATGTTGTGCAGCGCTTGGCGCATGGCCTTCGCATCCTGCCTGCGTCTTCCTTGGAAATCATAAAGTTGTGAGCTGGTCTATCTGCTCCCGGAGCCTTGCACAGTTTATTAGCTGAGAGATTCTATTCCGACAACGCCAGTGCCAAAGCGAAGCGGCAAGGGGAATGCCGAGCAGCCAGTGGCTGAATTGGACAGCTAAGGCTGCCTCGTTGAAGGGCAACGGCATCTTTAGGGGCAGGCCGGATGTTACAACACGTGAGATTCGCCACCCTCCAGCCCAGTCTCACAGAGCGACTAGCAGCGATTAGAATGCGCAAAGTGTCCGTGTGTTCTCAGAGCTCTGCGGCTGCGGACCACCCTGCATACGCTACCTGCCGCCTGCACACAGCATGAAGGCTCGAATTGGGAGAGAGCTCACACAGAACTTGTTTAACTAGGCAAGAACAACAGCAGCTCCGTGCCTGCTGGAGTTTATGCCCTCCGCCTGTGGTTGCTGCGATGTGCGGCGAGTCGCCACTCAACTCAGCATTGTTATGTATGCATAGGTTTGATGTATTGATTCGTCGATGTCGCGTGAGGCTGCAATTTTCACAGCTGCCTTTGCTGCATACTTCCTGTATCTTGGTGATTGCTTTGCAGCGGTGGACAGAGTCCCGAAGAAGGTGAGGGCATTCACTTGCAATCGGACATGTATGTGTCATCATTCACTGATGCCATGTCAAAGCAGCGCTCCGACCAGGAGCTTGCCTCGCATTCAAGAATCAATAAATAAAGACTCCGCTGAAATTTTGCAAAGAGTCGGTATGTGAAACGCAATGTTTGCCGGCTGGCTAGCGCTTCCCATAACAAATTGGCGTTTTCCCCAAAGACCATTCTCTTCGACTTCATAAATGGGTGCCACCACGAAATCACTCCATTAAGATAGCAAGGACGGCTGCACTTGCTAGAACTGAGACGATGTGCGCGACATGAGAGGGTTCCGCAGCAGTCGGCAACCCCCAAGTGGTTCAGGTTTGAGAAGTGCAGGCTATCCACAACGGCTGCTTTGTTGTTCATGCTTGGCACTTCTCACTTAATGTTTGCTTGCGATCCGGGCTTGATGGTCCGCCACAGCTGAAACTGCTGCGTGGTAGCATGTCTTCCTCGGCTGTCGGTACGAGCTGCAATGTCGGAGGGGATGCCGCGTAAAGAGATCAAGGGGAACTGTGCTACCAGAGTGTCCAACTTGGAGCTGTCTCCGAGGCTCAGATGTCGTTGGACGTGATATCGTTGTCGAGCACAGCTGAAGTTCGGTGTCCGAACTGGCGTGCGTAACAACAGCTTTAGTATCTGCAGTGCATAAAGATCACGAACTGTGGTTTGACGAAAATCAATGTGATTGGAATTTGAATCCCACCGCTATTTTCACTACATCTGGCCTTCTGCAGACCCGTGTCTTGATCAAACAAATGGTACCAAGATCTGATTAAGATCGTTTCAGCATGTCCGTTGCGGGGCGCGGGTGCTCAGCTACACCACGGGTGCCTGGCCTTGTTTGCACCCCCACGACCTGATTTGCAGGCCTGCCAATTCAGGAGCCCTGATGCCAGAATATATATTCTGTTAGACAGCGTCAGGATCAGGTTCCAGGCTTGACAGGCAAGCACGAAAACGCAGTTCACTTTGAAGAGTGGGCCATAGCGGACCAATTATCATGATACGTCGGGACAGCAGGCTGCGGACATATTGTGGTAGCATCATGTAGCATCAGGAAAGCTTTTGCAGACGGAAGTCGTGACGGGGTAATCAAGCACATGGTTGTCGGCACTGAAAGGTGGCAGCTGCTGATGTGATTGCACGCCAAGCGGAATTCTGCCAAGACTTGAAGCATCGTGGCTTTGCAATCGTCCGACTGTCGGACCTGAGAGAAAGGTGCCTCGGCCTCGGTGGAGCTTTGCACTGTGCCACTTGCCATGCTATGCAAAGCCGTGCTCTCGTCCTGAGCCTGCGAGGCGGAAGGAAGCCCTTGCATGGTTGGAGGGTTTGGCAGAGACGGATCCAAATCTTCCTGCAGACGTCGGTCTTTCTGATGACCTTGTGCGATACCAACGGGTTGACTTTCCGAGAGCCGTTCAGAGATTGGATGTCACTGCAGCTGTAAGTGGAGCACTCGCAGATCCAGGAGCTGAAGCAACCGTGGGACTGGCGGCAGATTTGCATGCACTGTCTCTGACGTGCTTGACGGCAGTGGCACAGCATGAAAATTTGCCAGAGCTCCTAAGCCTCGTTGCAGACCCGCCAGAGCCTCTAAATTGCGCGAAGGAGCGCTGTCCTTCAAGCCACAGTATGTTCTGCAGCTAAACGTATTGAGAGCCAGCAGACTCCAAGCAGCGTTTGGAGACGGATGTTCTCGGAGGAGCCAAGCATCATGCGAGCAAATATCTACGGTGGGCAAGACGGATGCTTGGCCCAGTTCATCGAAACAAAAGGAGGCGCCCTCGTCACAGTCTCATCTTTGTCTGTGTTCCGTCCTCCAAGCTTACACATTTCGTCGCCGGTATCCCACTGGATGCTCACGTCGTAATACCGAGGCTGGAGCTCTGATTTGTTTCGATCTTTACCGGCGGCCTTAACAGGTACCATCGCCGGTAGTATCCGAGAACTTCGAACACAGGACGCGATGAGATCTTGTCGTGTGTTCACCAGCATTTCGGTCGGCATGCAGCTCCACGTCAATCAAGATCGCAATCAACCTAAATATAGTTTAGGGCTAGTTTAGAGTATAAGGGGGAGCAAGTAGAGTAGGACCTGGGAAGGCTGGCTTTAGGAACAAGTCTAAGCTTTGGGCGCCAGCCCGATGGATGCAGTTGACCCAAGGCGGGCTCGTACCGCAGGGACCGGGTTGGATCGTTAGCACCCATCCACCATCGGACATGCCCGAAAGTTCCTCTGCTTTTGGAAGCTCTGCCGGCTCGGATGCATCGGCAATTTCATAACTCTCCTCCTACTACAAGTTCCTTGATCAACAACAGGGCTACGACCTCGCGGGACACATTGACATGGCTCTGGCTTTGACATGCATTTCCGTTCCGAACACACGGAAATCAAAGGTCAACGGCTTCAAGGTTCCTGAACGAAAGGACACGGTAAAGCAATGACGCGCGATGAAAGGCCGCTCTGAGAAACATACGATTAGCACGAACTGAGGAGCCGGACCTTGCTGGCACCTGGATCTGGGATTGCTGACGGTTGCTCCTGCAGGGTCGTGGCCGGCTCTGACACTCAGTTGTGTGATAGTGTTCTCCGAGTGTAGATGGGGGTCGTTGCACCAGCTCGTTGGCATTGTCTGTTTCTGTGCCGTCCTGCACTTGTCAGCAGTCTTCAAAGGATGGCTTCTCCATTTCATGATGCAATCGGAGAGACTGCTTTTCTGGAAGAGCTTTTGGACCCAGACCGTGGCGTGGTTGAAAGTTGGAACATGTTGAGACCATTTCAAGCCTGACGACCCCCGTACCCGTATGGCTGGAGGCTAGAGTACATCGGCCGTAGTCGTAGCAATGGCCGTCTGGGGAAGTTTGAGTGAGGTCTAACAACATGCTGCAGGGGTTGTCAAAGTGGTACAGCATATCTGCGACAAATTTGCAACTTGACATTCTGCGAGACATCCTATATCTCGTGCAGTGCACAGGAGATGTGCTCGTTTTTGCCGGTACTGCCCTGGTCCTTGCCACTGCAGCAGCTTACACCGGACTGGTCCATGGTGTATCGGCTGGCCGCCTAAAGCAAGGACGCGCACGACACTCGGCAGACACTTGTCGGTAGAATAGAGGCTGTGATTCTGGTTGCTGCATGTTCGTTTTCCAGGTGTTTCCGTGCCTTACTTTCTGCGGCCCCGAAGTGGAGCCGTGTTGGAGAAGCCGCCGTGGTGTGATGAGAGTTTGGCGGCTTACATGCTCTGGTGGATTCCAGACTGTGTGTGCTCCAGTCGTAGCATTGCAGGCTTATTTGTATCCAGCCGCCGTCCAACCTCAAGGTTTGGACGGGCAGGGGACTGGGCGACGAGGCTTGTTTTTGATTCAGTATATGCTCATGCATCGCTAAATACAACGGACGCGGGGCAGAAGTTGCTTCGCTCCACCGATTGCTTTCGGTCTGCCTCTCCTAAGCGCAACAGTCCGCATTGTGCGCTCGCCGGTCGGGAACGTTGTTAATCAAGATGATTCACAGAGATCTTGCAACTTCTGCACATAGAGTGGCAGCAGGTTCGCTGCCAGGCTAAACATCCTTTTCGGGTACGGAATTTGGGTACGTTTAGGTACAGTCGTGGCACCCTACCAATGTTCTGCAATGCAGCTGGGCAACATGCCATGATTTGATTTCAGATTGAAGCATCATCGAGATTTGGAGTCCTGCCCATGCCGCTTGTCACTGTTATCTAGCTAATCACTACTACTAGTAGAATCTACTCCTGCTGTGCTGCTGTGCTGCTGCTGCTGCTGCTGCTATTTCGGCTGCAGCTGGAAATTGAGCTTCAACTGCCACTGCTGCTGCTGCTGCGGCTGTGATTGTGCTGGCTTCTGCGGCTATTGCTACTGCAAGTGCTGCTACTACTCCGATGCCTACTCCTACTCCTGCTTCCTCCCACTTGTGCTGCTCTTGCTGCTTTTGGTGCTGTATTATTGCCCGTCCTACTGTCATTGCTATTGTTTCTATTGTGCACAAGTACAGGTTCCCAATGTTTCTTCATGAAGCATTGGTGCAGGTGGGGTGCATATGGGGCAACCTATGTTGGATCTCTTGCGCTTTCACCGAGCGCCTTGCTTGAAGTGTTGAAGCGGCTGAGGTCCCAAGTTAAGTTGAGTGTCTGGACAGCGATAGACTTCGGGGTCCGGTGAAGGGTTGGCAGTGTAGGTATTACAAGCTGGTCATGCGATTGCATGGAGGTGAGAGCTCCTGGCACTTGGCTAAGGTGTGTCGTAGATCATAGTCCCCCGGGAAGTGCATCTTTGCTGGCTTTGCAGAGTTTCTGTCAATGAAAAACACGGCAAGCCTGCGTTCCTTGCTTTGGAGCGGATCATCCTAAGGACTTGTACGGGCGGCTTTGTGCACGTGGCCAAGTTGTTCCGCTTTCCGCTTTTGCTGCAGAAGCCTGGCACCCAGCTTGAGAACCAACACTTGTGCCAATGGTGGGTTGTGCATTGGCATTGAGGATTTGCGGCAGAAAGTGCGACAAGATTTTTACTTGTGAGTGCCACCTGGTAAAATGCGACTCAGATTGCCGGGGGATGGTTGCTAACAATTGTGACAAACATGTGCCAGTTCCGTAGGCTTCAGTGTGTGCAGACGCGACTTGATAGGGGCCCCTTGAGCTCAAGTGCTGCCGTGTGAAAAGGGTAGTGTCGTGCGAGTGTTCGAGCCATAACCGCTCTTTCGGTGCTTCGCTTTGTCAGTTGGCACCGGAGCTTGCGACGACCAGGGCCACAGGAAACTTGTTTGGCGAGCCCTGAAATTTTGGCGAGCAGCGTGCGCGCTGAGGCACCAAGGAGCACAGTGAAGCTGAACACTTTGGTGGTGCGGAGCACAGAGGCTCCAGGCGACAATGACTCAGGAGGCAGGGGCTTTCCAGCATCGTGACCGGGACCCGCCGCCTTCTTGGAGTGGAGAAAGGCCAGAGACCAGCTTGAAACCCTACCTTCGAGACCTTCAGCTGCGGGAGGCCATCTCGGACCTCCCTCTGACCAAGCGAGGCCCAAAGCTGGTGCAGGCTCTTTCTGGGCCAGGTCGTGAGGCGGTGCGGGAGACTGCACTTCCGAGGGCACTGGAGCCCGCGCTGTACGGGCAAGCGCTTCAACGCAGGGTGCTGAAGGGCGAGGGGATCGAGCTCCCCACTAAGGCCAAAGGCTACCTTCTCTACCGCCAGTCGAGTCTGGACAAGGAGCTGGACTCACGGCTCTTGACGTGGCTGGAAGGCGACTTCTCGGTAGATGTTGTGACGGCGAATCTCCGGAGGCTGGACCGGGCCATGCAGGAGGGCAATCGCAAGAACAGCATCTACTACGACGAGCTCGAAGAAAGAGAAGACGGCGACGAATGCAGGGCTACAACGACGACTACGTCGAAGAGGCCTACTACCAGGACCCTGCGGTCGACGAGGCGTTCCAGGACGTGATCGACGAGGACGAGCTGATTGAGGTCTTGGCGAGCTACCAGGACGTCCAGGATAGCTTGAGACAGGCGAGGGTGAGCAGAGGCTTCTATCCCAAAGGACATGGCAAGGAAAAGACGGCCTCGTTCGGCCCCGCACCTGGCAGCTTCAAGGGCAAGGGCAAAGGCAGCTCGAGGCCCGATCGTGCCATCACTTTGCAGGAGATCAAGCTCAGAACGCGATGCCGGACATGTGGACATGTCGGGCACTGGTCCAGGGAATGCCAGAACAAGGCCGCGTCTGAAGCGTCGGCTTCTTCCTCTGCCGATCTAGCCAAAGCAGTGCTGGCCATCCTAGCAGCCTTCCCCAGAATCTCGCAAAAGCTGCCCAGACCTCCTTACTCCTTGCGTTCCACTAGCTGGAAGCTGGTGCCCATACACACCATGTTGAGCATCCACAGGGCCTGCGTGCCGTCGTGGTTGGGGATCTGCATAAGATCCAGGCCCACCACTACGTTGGGGGCGTAGGACCTCGGAACTGTGGTGGGGCGATTCCACTTCGGAGCCTTGTGGGCCTCACAACTGGCACATCGGTAGTCCTCCTTCGCGAACTTGATCAGATGGGCAGGTGCTCGTGAGACCGCCAGAGCCCGTGCCAGATCCCGGGCCGATGGATGGCCCAAGTTCCTGCGAAGCCTGTCCATTGCCTCCTTTTCGGACTTAGTGGGCACTCGAGCAACGGGACCGAAAACCTCCTCCAGTTCCAGTTTGCACCTCCGACGGCGTTACAAGTATTTCGGGAATCTCCCTGATCGTATCGTTGGCAATGTTGAGCCACATAACTCTCTGAGTTCACGAGCCTGTCGGGTGCCTTTGGCGTCCGTCCTGACCTTCAACGTGAACGCACCTCCTTGGCACCACTGGGCCCTGGCCAATCGGCATGCCAGCTCCATCGCCTCTGCGCCTGCCTTGGGCTCCAAGTTCAGCACCTTTGGGCGCGTCTTTTCCCAACTGTGCCAGCACTTGCTATCCGAGCCGCTGGCGGGCTGCAGGTTGAGCTGCTCGTGCACATCCGAGCCAATGTCTGCGATGAATGCCTGGATGCCCTTGATCACGACGTCCTGGTTCTCCTTGGGCACCTCCTCGGCAAACTCGGCGTTCACATACAGCTCGGTTGCCTTAGCACTACATACGCACGCTCGGGAGCAGCTCGACCGCCTCTGAAGTCATGCCGGTCTTTCCGAGAAAGGAAGCCGCGGTCCTGGACAACAACAAAGTCCTCCAGGAATGCGCTCGGATTTGCCAACCACCGGCCGAAAACTTCAGGACACGCCCGGTACATCTCAGTCCCGGCGCGTCTCCGGCGTTGGGAAGTAATGAACTCGGCCAGCACTGCCGCCGTCTGCGTCCTCAGTGCTGGGTCCATCTCGTCCACGTTCTGCTCGAGCACAGCCACCGTCTCCATCGCCCGGTCGTATTCCAGGAAGCTGCCGCCCTGCATGTCCAGCTTTGCCTGCACTGCTCTGGTCCGCCATGATTCGAAGGTATAGCTAATCCTGCTGGTTTCCCGCTCGAGGTTCTCGCGGGCAATGTCCCTGACCTTCTGGGCGACCTTGGGTGGCACGGCCGTCGTCCTCGGGGAAAGCTTCCACCTCGATTGGCACGTCGAGCAGTGGATCCAGTTCATGTGTCCATTTTCCCTCTTTAGGCACTGAGCAGGGTGCTGGCATCGCTCCTGTGTTGTCTGCGGCGTTCACATCGGAGAGCTTTTCCGGACTGCGTGCGCTCCTTGAGGTACTCCTTGTAGGCCTTGCCTTTGTCCGTAGGAGACACACGAGTACTCGCCAAAGTGCTCGAGGAAGGTCCTGCGGGTACGCTGTCTGGCCCAACTCGGGAAGCGGAAGCCAGGCTGAAACCACCTCTTGCCAGTGCCCACTGCAGCACAGAGTAAAGCTTGTCGGCCAATGCCGCCAATTTCGCCTTGCGCGGTGCTGCGGGCCGGCGGCGCAACGAGCTGCCATGGAGCCCGCCTCGTGTTGAGGCCGGCGCTGCAATCTTAGGGCACGGTTGCCTAGCATCGGCATTGCCTCCAGAAGCCGACAACAGAGCACTGTGGAGCCCGAGCTGCGCGCTGTGCGGTTCGAACATCACCTTCTTGTGTGCGGCCTCCGTCCGGAACATGCTCTCACTCACTTCTACGATGCTGCAAATCTCAGGGAGCTGCCAGCCTTCACCGAAATCCACAATACTGACAACAGTGTGCCCCGACGAGAGAAATCCCATATCGCATGATGTGTTTACTTTGCGAAGATGCAGGCGCCCCTCGTCGAGATCAATCAGGGCACCCGGGGCTACAAGTTGACGGGCACCAGCAGCGGGACTTCTTCAAAAACTACTGTCAGTTCCAGTACACCTGAAACACCACCAAATCCGACTGGCACCTCTACTGTCCCGAGCGACTTGGCTCGGCCCCCTATTCCACGAGCTTCCGTGACCTTGCCGTTCCAGTGGCCTCGGATCGGCCCGCCAAACCTTCTTGCGCTGCTGTGTCTAGAATGCCTTGGGAACCAAAACGGCGCCGAGTCCACTGTCTCACGGCTGGGCACCGTCTCGGTCTGCAGCTCGCCCGCTTCTGGGTCGACTGCGCTCGAGGCGAAAAAGGTGACCTTAGAGGCGCCCGGCTCCGAGGACCGAAAGAAGCTTGTCCTCGAACCAAGGCACCGAGTTCCTGAGCGAGTTCCGGGAAAAGGCGTCACAGCTCGGCGTGGTCATCCATCAGATAGGGCTCGTGCCCACATCAGAATGGCCGCACCGAGCATCACGGCTCATTGTGCAAGCTTCTCTTCGAGAAGGCGAGGTGGCGTGCGCCACCAACTGACCATCAGGATTGGATGCAGCTACTTCGGGAGGAGGAGTCGTCGAAAAACCGACTGTTCAACAGGTCGGGGTTTGCACGTATGTTGGGACACACGCCCAGGACCAACGGCGAGCTCATGTCGGACGACCTCGTGGACCCGGGCCCAGTGCTGCTCGATGCCGGCCGGCGAGGACATGAACAAACTACTGACGGCGAGACGGGCGCCGCAGAAGGCGTTTGCGGAGGTCAACACGTCGAATGCGGTGAAGGTCGCACCGTGAGGAGCAAAGGGCGCACCCAGCGAAACTTCCAGCCGGGTGAAGTTGTCTTCGTGTGGCGGTCGTGGCAATCGCAGGGAGTCCTCAAGCCGGGCTGGGTCGGTCCCGCAGTGGTGCTCATGCCGATGCCTGAGGGGCCCAACGTATGTGAACGTTCAGGGGCGAATCTGGAAGGTGTCGAACGAGCATCTTCGGCTGGGGACTTCAGAAGAGATACGCGGCATAGAGGCAGTGCTTTCGTGATCTTCAACAGCGCCAAGGTGATCGAGGACCACACGAGCGGCCCTGTGCCGGATGATGTGGTGGCGAGGAGGCTTGAGCCCAATGTCGAACCGAACGTGGAGGAGGAAGGCCTTTTCCGGTACCTCCAATTCCTATTGCGGTCGAGACCGAGGAGAACGCCCACGCTGTGCCACAACCTCCTGTACTACTACCAACAGTGCAAGAGAACGTTGAGGACAACGGGCAGCATCCAAGGCAGATCTCTCTATCCTCGGAGCCAGAACGTGAAGTGGCACACCACAAGCATCCGGGAGCCTCGACACAACAACCTCATGCACCGCAACCTCATGCACAACAACCTCATGTACAACGATCTCACGCGCGCAACGACCTTCTGCACCACAAGCACCATCACTACAAGCAGGAATCGCAGAGTCTGGAGAGCAGCGTTTTTCTGATCAGCTGCGAGCAGCTATGGATTCAGCCTACAAGAACGATATCCTTGACGACGCTTTGCCTAGACGGAAGGCACGTGTGCAGCAGGAGGGTCAATCTCGGCCAATGCGAGAGAAGGAGGATCAGAAGATCTACTTTGCCCAGGACACCTTCTTTGAGGAGGAAACCCTCGACGAGTTTGTGGCCGATTTCCGGAGGACGCCGCCTCAGCAATGCAAGCGAACCGAGATCATTGGGAGCTACTGCCAGGAGCCGGAATACTTCGGCGCCACCGTGTCAAGTGGAGGACGCACGCCTTTTCTTCATGGGAAGGCGCGCGGATGCCGGTGAGATTTTGGGTCGTCCCGAAGGGTGGTTCGTTGCTACGAAGGTGGCGACCAGGACTCGGAGGAGGACGACTGGAGGGCCATGCGGCCGTCCAAGAAGGCAGCTGGAAAGTGGAAAGGCCACACCGACTTCTTCCTCACGAAGCAGACGGCGAAGAACGTACTCGAGCACCAGGCGGAGGAGCCCTACACGGTCGAGATCCTCACTGCCGAGACAAGATGGCCAACGACGAGGTGCGCGAGAACAGCATTCCGCCGGACGAGTGGGAAGGCTGGAGGCAAACAGACGCCGAGGAGAGGGCGAAGATCCAAGTGAGTGGGGCAGTGCGAGTTCTCAGCGCCGAGGAGTCCAAGAAAGTGATCGCACAGCTCTCGATGGAGGGCAAGGAGGACCGCATTATGAGTTCCCGCCTTGTTCGCAGAAACAAGCCCTCCGAGCAACCGAATGAGCCAGCCCAGAAGAAGAGTCGACTGGTCATCCGTGGCTTCGAAGATCCAGACGCTTGCGGCCTGGATCGGTGATCCTCCAGCTGGCAGCGACTGTTCTGGGGTCGTGTGGAGATCTGAAACAGGCGTTTATGCAATCAGGCCCAATCAAACGTGAAGCTGGAAAGATCTACATGTGGCAGCCATCATGCGGTTTGCCAGGTCTCGAAGAGGGTCAAATCATGGAGATCCTGCACGGCGTCTATGGCTTAATCGACACCCCAATCCATTGGCGTCGAACCCTAAAGGCCTTTCTGACGGAAGATCTACAGTCCGCCAGTCTCGCCTCGATCCCTGTGTGTTCGTGCTGTACATTGGCGGGGTCATCAACGGCGTGATAGTGGTAGAAGTCGACGACCTACTGTGTTTCGGGCTGAAGGAAGAGGAGCTTCGACTTCAGAAACTTCGTGAAAAGTTTGCCTTTGGAAAGTTTCTTTGGCTTCAAGACCTGCCGCAAGGCATTTCCTATACTTCCTTCAACGGGCGCATTCGCCACGAGAAGGACTACTACTCTCTGAAGGTCGACATGTGCAAGTTCGTCACGGAGAGCATGAGTGAAGTGCGACTTGAGCGAGGTCGACGGTCGCAACCTGAAGCTGAAGCGACTGCCAAAGAGAAGCGAAACACCAGGGCCGCAATCGGCTCATTGGCTTGGGCGGCCAAAGAGGGCAGGCCTGATGCAGCTGCCGGGGCAAGCATCCTGGCCTCGAAGATAGCGAAGCTGAAGGTCCGGCTGTGGGCGTCTTAGCCTACGACGTCGCTTTGACTGAGGGTCAGACGGCCAAGTGTGCCCTTCTCTGGTGGAAAAGTGCCAAGCTCAGGCGCAAGGTTCCTTCCACGTTGGCGGCGGAGACTCAAACTCTAAACCGTGGCTTGGGAGAGCTGTTGTGGACGAAGGCATTGTGGCAAAACTTCCTGGATGAAGATTTTGATCTCCAGATGTTCATGGCGTCGATCAAGAAGCAGGCTGACCTTGTTTTACAGAAGGCAGATGCAGATCGCCTCCTCCGTGAGAGCTTGAGCATAGCGGATGCCAAGAGCGTCTACGACAACGTGATCAAGGATGCAAGTACGCTGCTTTGGAGGTGGTGGCGATAGCACGTGAGCGAAAGGATGGACTGGGCGCCCAGATGAAATGGGTCGAACATCAGTCCATGGTGGTGGATGCTCTTACGAAAGTAGGAGCAAATCCACAGGCCCTTCATCGCCTGCTTGACTCGGGGCACTACCGCGTGGTGGCAGAGCACGACCAGCTCGACGAACGATGCCACCGGGAATGTAAAGCCTCGTTGAGTCACCGAAGCCTAAAGAGAATTTTGGGAGCGGACAAACATGTGCCAGTTCCGTAGGCTTCAATGTGTGCAGAATTATGTTATCGAAGAAAAAATGTTACACAGAATTAGATGATTTTAGCAATTTGTACGTGGATGTTTTTGTGGCTTGAGTCGGTAGCGGGGTTTCCGGCATCTTCTTTTCTGAGCGCATTATTTCCTTGAACTTTCGTTTCTTCTTATTTTAGTATTCGCTTAGTATTAGTTGGGGGTAATCTATTAACTTGTTCTTTATTTGAATATCTTTTTTTGAGATATAATATATCATTAAGATAACATGATTTAAATTTAGTTAGATTTCTTTGATAGGATTCTTAAAATTGGGGTATCTTATATATATATTATATTTATATATGGTCACGCGCTCCGCGACCTGAAAATTAATAATTAAAAAAGAGATGGGGATTCTCTATTTCTTAGTATGGGGAAGGATCTTCTTTCTTTTTTTCTTGTCGGATATTTATTTTGAGGATTACTTTAAATTGTCGAGATTGGGATTATTATAAAAAGGTATTAAATTTCAATCGAGTAGGGTTAGTTTCGATACTTTTCAATTTTAGGTTTGGAATCTATATTTAGGTGGGATTGGTGATTATTTGGAATATATATTATCTTTTATAAATTATGGTTTGGGGTGTATACGTCCTACTAATAAATTTATTACAACAGAATTGATTTATTTGATATTCCGTGCTCTATGCGTGTAATTATCGTGATTTTAAATATTGTTTGGGGATGATTTGGGATCACGTGATATCTTTGCTAATTACAAGATTCGGATATCATGGGGGAACTTTATCGAAATTGCTTCGAGAATGGGTCCGCTCTGGATACTCTTGTATAGATATCTAAAAGACGTACGAATTTCAATAATTAATGGGATCGTAAATATAACGAGGTCCGTGATAATTAAAACTTAAATTAATATATTTTTATATTGGATTATGATGATTTTATCGGATCGATAATGTTTACGATGGATTAATGGTCGTTCTTTGAAATCTTATATATGAATTCGGATCCGCTAGGGCACTATATAAATTTATCTTGTAGATTGCGCGCAATTTTTTTTTTATTTCGCGATTGGATCATATTTAAAAAAATCTATTTATTAAAAATATTTATCGGAAATATTATTTCATTGAATTAATTTCGTATTGAAGGGAGGCATATAAATATATTTTTAAGAAAAAGGTAGGAGAAGAAGGGTCGTTGTGCTCATTTCGTTATGAGATTATTATTTTTATTAATATTTGATCATTGAATATATTTAATTCGATATTATTATCATTCTAAATGAAAGGAATAGAATTTCTATTTCCGATAAGGAATATGAATTGATTTCAGATCGTCCGGAAGATTTCTAATGATAAGATTAATAAATTTAGTGAAAAAATGATATGGGAATTTGCGGTATTAATAAGGAATATGAGTTGGATTGAATTCGTTTCGGGAGAATATAATTAAAATATTGATATGTTTGGAATTGATAGAAGGACGATAGAATATTGATAAATACGAGTCGGTTGGATATATATTACCTTTCAGGATTTCATGGTCGCAAGGTGGAGATAACGATATATTTTGGAATTTTACAAGGATATCTCTAGGATTGCAACTCGAGATATATTAGGATTGGGATTGGAATCTACGGGATATCCCTGGGAAACGTGAGTTGGATTTAAATCGCCCCGGAGAAATATATATTAGATTTAAATCGTCCCGGCGGCTTGCAGCACCAATAGGGAACGTTAGCTGGGGTTGAAGAATCCCGGGGGCTTACGATGCCAATAGGGAACGTGAGTTGAATTTAGATTGTGGTGTCGTCTTGGGGACCTGCGGCGCTAATAGGGAAAATGAGCTGATCTAAATTATAGCGGGCTTTGCGATAAGAATAAGGAGCTAAATTTCGATCTTATCGGGGATCTGTACCACTAATAGGGAGTATGAAATGGATTTCGTCCTTATTGGGGACTTGCGGATCTACTACCCGGTGGTGTAATATGAAGATGAATCGAATTGAGACCGTCCCGGACGCCTGCGGCGTTAACAGAAAATATGAATTGGGTTTAGACCGTCCCGGCTGCCTGCGGTTTTAGTAGGGGACGTGAGCTGGATTTAGATTCTCCAATACGTGAATTGGATTTAGATCGTCCCGGGGGTTTGGGATTCCGGGGCCTGTCGCGTCAATAGGGAATGGGAGTTGGATATAGATCTGAGATAGAGGTAGAGATAAAGATAGAGCTAGAGCTAGAGCTAGAGATAGAGATAGAGACAGAGATAGAATCAGAAACAGAGACAGAGATAACGATAGAAGCAGAGACAGAGACAGAGAGAAGAAGAACAAGGAGTGCAATGCTTTTAGACTCGAGCCGATGCCGGGCAGGCTGTCTTGCTGGCCGGCTAGCTGCTTGCGGCTTTTCCAGGACCCTCGTGGAAGATGAGGTGGTGCCAACGTCTTGGTGTACCCTAACGAGAATTCCAGAGTGAAGATATTGCGCGGGCATGTGGCTTCTTGCAAGCCTACGAAAACGCTATCCGTGTGCTGGAGCTGCACGATCTCGGTGCACGGACTTATGACATGGAAAAGGACGAAGCTGGGTTCGCCACAAGCAGGCTTCAGGACTTAGCTACAGTAGCGCGGGAATTCCTGCGGTCATTACGGGCGCCTTCCTTTTTTTCGTGCATTCGAGTGCAAGCACGTCATCTTTGGTAGACAGTGCCGGAGTAAAGAAGGATGAGGAGGATGACGACGGCAGTGCTTCGTCCGAAGACAAGAAGGACGAAGAGGAGGCAGCTGATAAGAACCAGAAGAGCAAGAAGAATAATTCGTGAATATTCGCGTAGTGAATTCAATGAATCCCTCTTCAATGATACTCCGGAGATTCCGATCGTGATCAACAAAGCCTTGAATATACAGGAACGTGGCCTTCAAGCCAAAAATCCGCATGGAGACCGAGACGTACGCTTGAGGCCGGTAGAACGGGCCAACTCCATCGTCGTGATCGGTGAGTATTCTAAGCAGTCGTGCGCCGAGTGCACTTGGCGACTGCTGGCAACTCTATGATTGAAGGAGGATGGCACGCCGTGGCTAAATATCAAATATGATGGCAAGCATGGAATTAAATTTCGCCCAAAGGGCTGTAAGATGAGGACACCTACAGAAACTGCCGCAAGACGGCGCACCCAAACGGCACGCTTCTGAGCAGCCGCAGCGTGCGAGTGGCTGATCGAGACCGGCTTTTCCTCGCCTGTACCGAAGGGTCGGCTGAAGCAGTATGTGACACGACAAAACCGAAAATACAGAGGCATCAATCAGGCGGGTCAGAAGATCATCGTGCGAGAACTTCTGGAGGCCGTGGAAGCATGGTCGCGGAGGCCTAGCATCATTGAAGTCGCACCGAACCTATACAACCAAGGGCTTCAAGTGATAATCGCATCCGCCTTGACCACAGAGCATAGAAGCTCGAATAAACGAATCCAATTCGCCGTTGACTCTGTATCCATATAAGCTTACAGTATTGACCGGGTCGTTCCGGTGTGCAGGGGCACTTGCACCTTCTCCTTCTTTATATGTGCAAGTCTGATATTGACTATCTCTCCTTTGCCGAGGAAGCTCACGGTAGCAATCACGCCCCCTGAGCTGGTGATCATATATTTGCCGTCGACGACGATATATATATATATATATATATATATATTGATTAGGGCTCAGATCGCCTCACCAGCGAGGTCTGGTAGGAAAACTGTAGCCCCAGAACCCCCGTCGATGCCTTATGGGGTACGGGGTTCGTCTTGGAGCCGGTGGCCCGCACAGTTTGTCGTTCGCTGATGCGTTCAACCGAAGCCTGGGGACTTCGACGCTTAGTAATGCGTTCAACCGGAGCCTAGAGGGCAGCCAACGACCCAGCAGCCTGCGGACTTTGACGCTTGGTTATGCGCTCAACCGGAGCCTAGAGGGCAGCCAACGACCCAGCAGCCTGCGGACTTTGACGCTTGGTTATGCGTTCAACCGGGGCCTAGAGGGCAGCCAACGACCCAGCAGCCTGCGGACCTTGACGCTTGGTTATGCGTTCAACCGGAGCCTAGAGGGCAGCCAACGACCCAGCAGCCTGCGGACTTCGACGCTTGGTTATGCGTTCAACCGGAGCCTAGAGGGCAGCCAACGACCCAGCAGCCTGCGGACTTCGACGCTTGGTTATGCGTTCAACATTCTCATGAGGAAGCTGGTTGCTCATACCATTAGTGCGACGGTGTTTACATGATTGGGAGGGCATGGCCTTTTGAATCCGCCATGCGGGGCATAAAGCTTGTAGTTTGCCTCTCTGCCCCATGAGGAACAAGGCTCAAGCTCTGTGCTGTACTGATGTCCTTATATCACCTCGAAGATGGTGTTTCGGCATCCAGGGTATGTAGCTGTGCAGGGATGGCCTCAATTCATACCCTTGAGGAACGATCCTGCATTTTGTAGGCCTGCTTCGCATCGCACTTTATGGCGGATTAATTCTGTTTCGGTTTCCGATTAAGGGAGCCTGTAGCAGCAAAGATTATTGCCTGCTGGCCGGGTCTTTTTTTGGGTTTGAGTTTTGTAATGGGTCTTTGAGTGCTTGGGGACGGCTTTTGGGCCGAAGGTCTGCCGGTTGTATCCCCTTGCGCCAACTGCCCGTTTGCAGTGCGGTTGCCCTGCCTGAGTGCACACTCGGACGAGATTTCTGCTCCAGGTTGTGGTGCCCTCACAGTCGTGTAATTAGTGCATGCTATAGGCTACGTCCGACTTGGACCTTGTGCCTCCGAAAGCGAAAGCGAATATATATTGATTCCTTCTTGGGATTGATTGCGTGATTCAAAAGTCCGCGGTATCTCCACCCAAAGAAAGCATGCCCGATTCCACAATCTGGACTCCCCACGACTCGTAGTTCCTCCAACGAGGCACTCGAGAAAGTCGCCGCTTAGTGGCAACACGGCGAAAAGTAATTCCGAATTCTCGAGTTGCGAGAGACTATCCCCATATGATACGG